TGGAAAAAAAACAAAAAAAAAAATAAAAACAAAAGAAAAAATTCTTGTGCGTGTTTTAATTAATTTTATATATTAATTATATTATATACATACATGATATATATATCATCAAATATGATTTGCATAGGTTTTTTTTTAAAGATAAAAGTATTGAGAACCACTGGTATCTCTTTCATTGCTACGATACGCACACTTTCTTTTAATAAACTTGTGTGGGTGTGTGATATCACGAATGACATCACCCTTTGTATCAGTGTTAGTGGTACGGTTTGAAACCCACAAGGCGTGCTCGCACTTCAGTCATTCGCAGACGTTCATCCGACGATCATTTATACCTTTATCGAGGTCAGTCGAAAATTGTCGGTTTTAATTATTTATTTGCAGCTTTTATTTGTTTTTTTAATTTATTACTTTCTTTTCTTTTTCTTGCTTTTTGTCGAACAAAAAAAAAAATTATTTAACAATTAAATTATAATATTATGTAGAAAAAATGATGATGCTTGTGTGCGCGCATGGGTGTGTGTCTGTGTGTGCGCGCGTGCGCTTGTTTTTATTATTAAAAATGATTCATATTTCTTATCTATAAAGAATATTATTTTCGTCTATCAATCTCTTATCACGGGTTTGTTTCTTCTCACATATACGTAAACATTAATATAAGTTTATAATTTGAATTTCTTTTCTTTTTTTATTTTTATTATTGTCATTGCGTGTTAAATGAGATTCGAATGGGAATATACACGCGATAAAAAAAAAAAAGGATATAATTATTTTAAAAAATCGTTAAACTTATAGGGATAGTTTATTATTCGTTTTCTTTGACGGACGGGATATTTAAAAATAACCACTGATCGAAAAACTTGATGCGTTTTAATACTTATACTCGTGGAACGCGTATACCGACGTTTCATAAAAGTTTTTTTAAGAAATGTTCTGTGTATATTTTTGACATTTGTTTAACGAGGGGAACATCATCATCATCGATAAATGACGGACTTATACATTGCCAAATGCAAACATACTCGCGTGGGATTGAAGAAACTTTCCGTATTTTCTACGAAACTGATGATGCGTCACACACACAATCTCTAAACAATTATACGTATTTAGAAATCGTCTCGAGATACTAATCAGATAGGAAAAGGTGTACATTATTTGCAATAGATCTTATTTCGCTAAAATATATCTCACATTCTCTTTAATCAAATAATATAAAATATTTTCTTCTTTAAATTTTGACGCGATGATGATGTCTATACACTATTTATATTTATACAATTTATAATTTTTATATATATATTGATTTGAAAATAATACAACTTTTGAACTAAAATTTATTCAAATATTTTCATAAGAAATTATTCAAATTTTTTTATTAATTTTTTTGTCTATGATGTTATTTTATACTAATATATATTTAGTTTATTTACTTAAATGGATTTATCGTTTGTTTAAATCTTATGCTTGCTTTTATATTTAACTGATAATTATAATTAGTTGTTAATCATTTTGATAGTTATGCTGGATCCTGGAGTTATTTAAAATATATATATATATATATATATATATGTATGTCGTATATATATATAGATTTTGATAACCTCGGAGAATCCATGACCGAAATACGCTTGTTGAATATAAAAGGTGTTGTTTTTGTTGCATTATTCATACATGATATTCATTACTTAAAATATAATATATCTCTCTCGTTATTTATTTGTGTATAATTTATAATTATTATATTTATTATTATTTTCTTTAATTTAATTTTATTTTCAAGGTACCATCATAAATAAAAACAGTCATGTCTCATTCAGTAGTAATCAGGACGCAAACAGTGAGGACTGAATCAACTGCAATAGTTATTAATACGGGATATTTAAAAACATGGAGTGGAATATTAAAATTCTTGCAACTAGTATGCATTATATACATATATATATATTTTTGTTGTTGTTATTATTGTTGTTGTTACATCATAAATACATCATGTTTATTTTTCTATTTCTTAATTTTCTAATACATCATTCATTTAATATTACTTTCTATTCGTAGGCTTTGGGAATCGTATGCGTAGGAATTATCGGTGATCAATTTAAACCGGGTTATTATCGCACAACTACGGATTTATTTTTCTTTTTAGTAGTAACAACGTTCATGATAGGAACTTTTATTCTATTGTTAAGCTGTTTGTGTTCACTATCAACTTCATCTATAATATCAAAAACGATATATGTGAGTAATTACAAAAAAAAAAACATTTAATAGAATATTTTTTTATTTGTGAGAATAAAAAAATTTAATAATAATATTAATAAAAAACAAAAAAAAACAAAATATATTCAATAATATTTTTCAGGAACTATTTTATCATTCGATAGCATTCGGTCTCGTAATATCTGCGGCTCTGTCATTATTGGTACAAATAAATAAAACAAATGATAGAAATTATGAATTACTATTAGGTGCAGCTGTAAGTGAATTGGAATATATTATATTACATTGTATATAAGTTAACGTATATATATATAGACAAATGTTTATATTCGAAGAATTTCTTTTTCAGATTTGCGGTCTCGTAAATTCAGCCTTGTATTTATTTAGTACAATAATAGCGCTTCGTTCATACAGGGGTATTTAAATGCTATAAGTTACAAATTTTTCAACCAATTTTTCATCTTGCGAACGAGCAATGAACACTAACTTTTTTATATTTATATAATGTTTCGAATCATCTCCAATTTTATTGGATTATATATATATATATACATATATGTATTTAAACAATTTAACTGCCAAATTAAGGTGTCTACAAAATAATATTAATTGGACGATTTTTAGATGTATGCGACTGACATCAGAATTAATAATATGGTACTTATTTATTATTTTATGTCAATATAAATTGCATTAATATTTTTGTTTTTATAGATCAAATTTTTTCATTCATAACGTGATATTTATTTTTAAAGTGAGTCATTTAATAGTATTCATTAGAAAAA